GAGTGTAGTGATGGGGGTGGGGTGGGGGTGAGACGGAAGCAACCGCTTGACGGCGTCAACATCCATTAGGCCATTAGGCACAGACCAATGGTCCAATTAGCCAACTGTGGAACTCTTAGTCAGAGCCACCCTAATTCCTGCCTCAAAATGCAACTCGAATTACGCCCCCGATGCGGCATCTCCGAGCTGTCATCACTTTCGCTGTCGCTTGAGGGAAAATCTGGCCAATTACTGGAGGACAGGCGGGACGGCGTCGCCTGGAATGGCCATGGGCTTGGCGGGGGCGGGTGACAGTGGGGGAGCAGGCCTTAGATGGTCAGCTTTAATTAGCAGCCAGCGACAATCGAGACGAATCGGATCGGTGCGATCGCTTGCGCAGTTATTTCATCAATGACATTTAAGGCTTCATTAAAAGTCCTGCAAACGGGCGTGACCTTATTTGGCAAGCAGTGATCGATCGCAGGAGGTAGGGAAGAGGAGCACAAAGCACAGGCCTGTTGTCACAGGAACGGAAGAGAAAGAAACATAAATGGAGGATCTCTAAGGCCGCCGCATAAATTTCATTTGATTGGACTGCGATTGCCTCTCGGACCTTGTTGCGCCACTAACGAGCATAGCGATGGCATCGTGACAACCTGATCCCCCTTCGTGAGTCAACAAAGAAAACAACACAGTGAACCGAGCAACGAAGAGGCACGAGGAGCAAAAATGTGTGTCACTCCACATGTTCTGGTATCTTATCGGATATGTGTTTATAGTTAAGAGTTCTCTCTCACACGATTGCTCACGCTTTCGCTTTAGCGAAAATAGAACAAATAGACATAAACATTCACCGGAATTCATGCTAATAATTGCAGCTATCGGAAATGAGTAAAAATATAGATAAAGATGAGACATCCAGTACCAGACGCCGTCTAACCACTCTGAAATTATATATCTCTCTCTCTCTCTCTCTCTGCGAGTCCACCACCACCATTAAAAATGCAAGTTGCTTGGCCAGTTGGCTCTCCGCTCTGTGGTTGGGCTCCTTTGGCACGTTTCGTTAGCCCGTTTCGCTTTTACTTAACATTTTAAGCCTTTGCGCCGCTAATTGGCTGAAAATACCAAAAATGGCAATGCATGACGATTCCGCCTGGCCACTGAAGATCGGCAAATGGGGAGGGAATTGGGTAAGGTATGGCAATAGGAATGGAATTGAACTCGGGACCTGAGCCGTCTGGACACGATAGTTCATGATTTGTATGTTCCAAGATCGATCAGAACTTGTAAAGGAAACTTCCATGATGCTTCGAGCAGAAACTATGCCAAAATCCATACAAATATTCATTAAAAGTAAGCAAAAAATGAGTTCTCTCATAACAAAGTAGCCCCCACCAATGGGTAAGAGCAAACTAAATCATGAATCACTGATCCATAAGTCCCACGTCAATTGCTATACCGATGAGGGATAGATTTCATTACCCCTGAAGAACTCCTCCTAAGAACTCTTCCCAGCTCCAGCATTAGTTCCTGGACAATACATAAATAAATAATATTTATTTGCTTTTATCGATTGCGTGGTCAGCGGCAGCTACGTTTCCCCATGGAAGCCAGCGCTGGTGCCGCGATGGCGTGGGCGCAAAAGCTCAAAAGCTCAGAGCCTATCCTCCTACTGGCTACAAGCTGCAAGAGGGAGGAAGGAATGGAGGTAGCACTGGTAAAAGGTAGTGCAGCACCAATCGCGAGGCGTGCATCTGCGGCATGCAACTTCGATCAGCCGATCACCGATCAGTGTTGGCTATTCAATAGTTTCAGGCTGAGCTCCAGATGGAGTTTCCATTCTTTCATTGTCGCTTTTACTCTTTTTTTATTTACCTTTCTCTTGCTTTCTACTTCACTTACTGCACTTCATTTTCCGATGTCTCCTAATGGTGTCCTCCACTTCGAAAACTCTTTCCAGCACTGATCCTTGCCATATTCCTATTCATTCTGTAGCCAAAACTCTAGCTAGAAAACAGCTGATTTCGCATTACTGGCTGCAGTCTGCTTGCTTTCTTCGTCCCTTCCCTTCCCTTCCCGTCCCGTCAGTTGTTGTTGTTGTCAATAAAAAAGCGACGGCAAACAATTTAAATTTGAATTTAAATTAGCTTCTGCTGCGTCGCTCTGCAACATCCAGCCAGTCAGCACTTTGGCCAAAGCCATTGCCGATGCCCTCAAACGATATCCAAGGCACAATCACGAGATGCTGCTGCGCCTGCTGCTGCTGCTGCTGCTGCGGATTCTGCTGCTGCTTCCTTCTTCGCGATTCTTTTTGCATTTGCATTCTCATTTCCCTGCCTGCCTTCTGTGTTCGATTGGAGTTGAATGGCAGCCAACTGTTCTTCGTTTACCCTGTACTAAATGGAGCACAAGGCTGCACTGATTTTGAGTGCAAGAAGCTGCAGATGGCACGCCGCATACTTATGGCTGGTATATTCTTATATTTTATTATGATTATGATTTCATGTACACATGGAAACTAGATTACCATCGAGCCACATAAACATTTTGGCATTTTGAGAGTTCTCTTTGCATCCGCCTTGGACCACATCTGCGCAGAGGGTATCCGCTAGTCGGAATAGTCGACTGCTGCGCTTTCTTCCTTGTTGTGCGTTTTTTTGTCTCTCTTTTCTTTCATCTGTGCTCTTTGTGATGAATGCAGATGCTTTGTTAGCCCCGTGCTGTCTCCCTTCCGCCTTGTCTCTGCCAGTCCCCTGTCAGTCGATGCCTCTGTTTTCATTATCACAATAATATAATTATTGAATTCTGTTCTTTCTCTTTGCAGGTACGTATGTGCGTTTAACCCATTAGCTGCAGCTGTGATTAATTAAGGGAAAACAATTGAGATTTCATTGTGAGAACAATACACTCTTGATGGTATGGGTGAGTGCGGCACGGGTGGGATCATTTGATAGAGCAAACCCAAAAGGGGACCGTACTGGCAGCTCGCATTTAAATGTCAATCAACACACATGGACATGCGGACACATGGACATGTGGACATGGCCCGCCGTGACGACCCGCCGTGGCTTAGTGGGGGAGGAGTTCAGGCTATATGGCGGTAGATTCATTACCTGAGTACTCGTACGTGTATTAAGTCAGCTTCAAAAGCAATTTTGACAAATAAATTCATCAACACTTCCGCTGACAACTGGCAGACTTCTGCCGTTGGAGCTGCAAAAATGTCCACAGCAGCCACTGAAATGAGTTCCTGAATCTTTTATACCCTTTCAAATGGAGTCTTTGTATTTAGCTGCTCTAAGATTAAATTCGATGAATTCATAGAGAGTCTATTGTCATACATTATGTGGCTGCAAATCGTTGGATGGGTACAAATTGAAGACATAAAAATATGTTTAAAAAACTTCCTTTTGTGCTCTCAGCATCAGCATAATCAGCATACCCTCTCTCGCTGGCAGGGTATACATACATAGCTGGTAGAAACAAGCCAACAACAAACGCATTTGAAATTCAAATTTGAGCACTTTTAACGAGCATTCGCCTGGACAGGACAGCAGTTCGAGTTGCAGTTGAAGTCATACGAGTAGTTGTACTCGCACGAGTACGAGTATGTTTGCCTGCAGTCTGAGTCGGTGGGGAGTTGGGAGTCGCAGTCGCAGTTGGAGTCAGGGTAAGAGTCGGGGAGTCAGAGTGGAGTGGACAGCAGCCACTGCGCATTGTTTGGGCAGTTGTTGGGCTGCCATGTAGACGCTGATCAGGTTGACAGCTCGAGCAAAAGCGATAAATTTAGCAGTGCACCCACTGCAGACCGATTTGAAAATTCGCTGGAAATTGTTATGTGGGCTATTGTGACCCAGGAATTTAGCGAGTTAATTGTGCATGCCGGCAGATCAGATTCCCGCGACTTTGCGCCCTTTTTACAGTTATCCAAACATCAGGGTGGGCGCGCTCTCGATCTCTCTCTCTCGCTCACGCTGTTTTTGTCGCTGCCTGTGCTCCAATTTCGCAGAGCCAACATAATCTTTGAAGCATATTTTTGCACAGCCGTTGCCAAAACGTGACAGGCAGAGTGCACAAAGGGCAGAGAGAGAGAGAGAGAGAGAGAGAGGGTAGAGTGCAGTGAAGAGAGTGCGCAGAGCAGATAGCTGGCAAACAGGACTGAGAGGGAATGCAAAATAACGGATAAAACGTAGCAGCGGAATGTGCGCTGGTGTGTGTGGGCGTGCCGAGATAACCCACAGTGGGCCACAAAATTATAAGCCCTGCGGCCAGCTGCAACTCAGATTAATGAAAAATGAAAGCGTTTCTTTTGTACCAACTTGTACTACGCGATCTACCAGCCGGAATCTTTCTTTTCTTATGTTATTGATTCGGACACATACTAACTACTGCCACTGTAGCGCTGCAATTCATCGGAAGTGCCGCACTGATGGGGAAGTCAAATTGTAAACCAAATCAAATCGAAACCACTCCGGATGCGATTTGCCATGCAGCTCAAACAACAAAACAAACAGCACCCACTGTAAGTGCTACAAGTGCTATGTATAATGGGACTATGTATAAACAGACTCTTTGGGCATTCCGTCCATGAAATGAGGCGATACGGATTAGAGTTCAATACCGTAAAAAGCGCCATAACAATTATGATTATTTCGAATATACGTCGAATATGTATGTGTATGTACATACACATGAATGTATTTATGTAAATATGTATGTATGCACGCACACTGTACTGCAGCCAAAAACCTACTGATAGTGACTATCACAGGGCTACACAGTGAAGGGGTTCCGACTGACAAGCACATGGCCCCCAAATGCTTGACCCAATTCCAATGGCTATCGAGCAGCAGCAGCATCAGCAAGGGGCAGGAAGTGAATGCAGCTTGGCCCTGATGTACGAACGAACAAGTATCAGCTTCCATATCTATTTGGCAGATGTTTGAACAGCTGTCATCTCTCACTTGGTGTCTGTCTCGCCTTTTTTTATTTTGTAATTTACGATAAGAACTCCAAATCGTAGGCAGCCAAAGAAACTCTGTCAATCAAATTCAACGTCCATAGATCAAGTTTTGCTCGTGCTGGCACGCACATGCACAGACACGGGCACGGCTGATGAGCGGCGATGGATAGCTCTGCCGGTTCTGCCGAAACAGAGGACGAAGCGGAGGACCCATCTCGGACTCGGGATGAGGATGAGGATGAGGATGATGATGACAACGATGTGGAGCAATCAACCGATTCAATGCAACATGGGCGTCGACGCCGGAACTACTGGCTCAGCCTGTATGGCTTTGAGGCCGCCGAGGCCGTCCGCATCTTGTACATCTTCATGCGCTTCTGCCATCTAACCGCCATCAATCGGCTGCCGAACGGCATCGAGCTGAGATTCGGCACATCGGAGCACCTCCAACGGGCCCGTCTGCTCGCCCAGCGGCTCGTGGTGAGCCAATTCCAGCTGAGGTGGCGTATGGGTCGCCTGCCACACCTCGATCACCAGCAAGGGGGTGAGGAGAGGGGAGGGAGCTTGGAAAGGGAGAGCTTAAGCTTAATGGGTAGGCTGCGTCGGGCATTTGTCAACTACTTTCAGAGCATGTCACGATAGTCAATGGCTTCTACGATCGATGGGTGCTTAATAAAGTTTGGTGATATTTAATTATACACTTATGTACGTACATATGTAGGTATTATGTATACATAATGTATGAATGCTGATGTAATCTCTGCTTTCCGGATTGCTTTTCCTGCGTTGTTTTTCGTAACAAAATCTTTAAAATTTTCCAAACTCTCCCCCTGTATGCGGCGACCATGCACACCCACATGGCCCGCAAATTAAATTGAAAAATGTTTCCCAAAACAAACAAAAAATTATTCATGGATAGAATTTTCATTTTTGACGAGTTCCTCAATTGAAAACCATTAACATAATGGCCCAAAACAGAACTCTGCTGGCTGCCAGTGTGGGGAGTGGTAGTGCGGAAGGGGTGGTGCGGTGATGCGGTGGTGCCTGCAAAGCGAATTTACTTGTCAGTGTCGCGTCGCGTCGCTTGTAATTTATGCAAATTTTATGCGCGCACCACACAAAAAGCAAAACACCAAAATAGTACAACAACAAAAGTGAAGCGAATAAAACAGACAAAGTGAAACAAGAGACAAAGAGAGCAGCAGCAAACAACAACAACAGCGACGAACGCATAAAACGCAGACGCACGCAGAATTGTTATACACTTGCAAAGAGAGTAATAACTTTGAGCAGATGGACACGAAAGAGTGAAAGCATATACGAAGACACAGACGGTTCGTCGAAGTATTCGAAATAGACCAAAGCAGTTGGATGAAGCTCAGCAAGAAACGTGCAAGCCGAATGGGAGTTATTTTGTTTCATTAATTAGGTATCTAAATCTGTTATACATTGTCAAAGTCAAGTCGGCTGCCCTTTTGCAGGGTATCTGAACCATCGACGCCGCTGCCTTAGGAGTTTCTTCATTATTTTCGCAGTTGCTGCTTTTTTTTTAGCTGTTTATTTGTTCCATGGTCGTTCCATGGGGCTCGGCGGGGCGTTGCGTCGTTTCATTTAGTTTATGGTGACATAATTAAAATTTATATGACACTGGCTTACAGCACCCGCATTCCTCCCGGAAGGGTGACGCGACTGCTGAAGTGGGGCGGGCATCTAAGAGAGTTGTGCCCTATGAGGCGAGAGTGAGAGATTACGCATGGGGTAGGGCAACGATAGCGATATCATCGATCATGCTTACGCATGCGACAATTATCGGTTATTTTATCAAGCATTAGGTAATACCACCTACAAAGAGAGCGCCGTTATAGCCTCTTCTCTATCTTTAGAGATATGTTTGTACAGACGAACCCAGCACGGTTCGCCACTGTACACCTTCGGTGTGGACTCGTATCAATTTCGTGTGGAGCACACGCCCCCGTCAGAACGCGATCCGGCTACCTGGCCCTACCTGTGTCGTCCCCCTGTGTGTGTCTCTCTCTCTCTGTCTCTCTGTGTGTGGCCGGCTCTCATGTCAGCCGACGGCGAGCGCTTGCACACACCCCGTGGTCCAGGAGGGTCCAGTGGAATCGCGTGGAGTGGCCCTGCCAATCCATTTCAAATTCAAAGAACAACAGAAACAAAAGCAATGCTCATGCTCACTCAACAGCCTGATATCCATATCCTCCTGCTCTGGTGTGCTGTTTATGTACGTACATACAAAAGTACATATGTACATACATACATATGCAGCCAGGCGCACGTTTGCCTTGTGGCTTTTATCCTTTGATCCAGCTTGCTGCTGTTCCACTGTGCTAAAAACAACAACATACTCACATGATGGGCCAAACGGAACATTGCAGTTATTGTTATACACGCGCACGTGAGCTGCAGCGCTGCGTTATAACACTTTCCGAATTCTGCCTTAATCGTAAGAGAGTGTTATATATGCACACACGCACACGCACACGCACATCTGCTATGCATCTTCCGTTTTCACTTCCGATTCGTCTGTGCAGCCCCCCCTGCCCCCTTGGCAGTCACTCTGATGTTGCGTTTACCTGTGCTGCTCCCTCTACTCCGGCTGCTCTTGCTCATATGTATTTCTTCTACATCTTTTCGTGTTCTTCTCGATCATTTACCTGCCAGAGCATACTTGTATGCATGTATGTATGTATGTGCATGTGTGTGTATTTGTACCTATGCCCGGTATTTCCCTAAACACCGGTTCTTTTGCTCGTCACCATCCTCAACCACTTCATTGCTCTCTCCCGCTCTCTTTGTCTCTTGCTCGCTCTTCCACTTAGCGAGCGCCATTAACTGTCATTGCCTTCAAGAGTTCTTCGTGTATGCGTTCGTTCGTTCGTTCGTTCGTGTTTTTGTTTATGGAGCGGTTTGCTCTTTGTCATGAAAGGATAATAAAAAAACGAAATTATGTTTAAATATGCCAAAGTCTGCCTCTTCTTCTCCTGCTTCTTGTCCATCTCCCTCTCCCTCTCTCGCTTCTTAGGTCTTATTTGCCCGAGCTCTGCTTCATGGGCGTGCTAAGACTTTTATTGTCGCCATGTCATTGCCATACATGTGCTATACAACACCCGTATAAAAACACAGCCACAAACACACACATACATTAATACATACATTAGTACATACATTTGTACATATGTACATAACAGAGTGTTGCCTAACCCTGACCTGACCCTGACCTGACCTGATCCGACCTGTCTGGTGTCTCCGACGTCTTGCGCAACTTGCTTAGCGACTTGGACTTTCATTATGATCCATCGCATGGTCTACATCTGTACACATGTATGTATACATCACAGATACATATGTATACATAATCCCGACACTTTTGCAATGTGCCCTAGAGAGCCAATGAAGCAGCTTTTCCTGTATACACTATCTGATCCATTGCCTTTGAGAGATTTGTTGGCTTCATTCCAAAATGAATCGATCTCTAAAAATCGATACCTTAACGATCACTTCCCCTAATAAGTCTTCCCGGCTGCACAGCCGTTAGGTGACAAGCGATATTTATCGTGCAACTTATCGAATTAATCACATCCCCTTTGGTAACCCCAAAAGGGCTCTACCCCCATCCACAAGCGAAGGCAACAACAATTTGTTTCTTCCACAATTTATGATCGCACAAGCCCAAGATCAAGGGAGAGCGTGGGATGGGGGAGAGCCCCACACAGCAGAAGGGGGGTACTATAACGGGTGAACAAAAAAAATAAACAGAGGCTGCGTCAAGCAACGAAGGAAGACTGTGGAGACACCCGACTACCCATCAAAAGGGTAAGCCCCCCCCCTCGGTACAGGATACAGAAGCAGAGGCTGCCTCAAAGAGGTCAAATATGAAGGCAGCGGCAGCGTCTGCGCCTGCGCACTTACCAGAGAGACAAATTTAACATCGCTGAACCCAACGCTTGACCTTGCCATCAATTTTCATAATGGAAACTCATGACGGGCATGTCGGGGAAATCAAATTTGTTGCTGGAATGGGGCTTTTCCGAAAACACCAACAAAAAAAAAGAGAAAAAAAAAAAACGATAAGCTGAAAAGCCACCACAAAAGCAGCGGGCCAATTTGTGCTACTTGGGTTACGTCTCTGCTGGGCAGGGGCATGGGTATTACTGTCCCATAGATGAATGAATGGATCGCACATCGAAACGGAACGGAACGGATTGGATTGGATGGTTGGTAGGCGGTTAAGCGGGTGCCCCAGCCGCTGCTGCTGCTGTGGCAATTTAACGCTCCAGTGGGTTACCACAGCTAATGTATGCCTTCATCATCTGCATTTGTGTCAGTCAGAACTGGGTCCCACACAATCGTTAATGGGGAATCGGTCGCTGCATTTGCTGCATCAATTTCCCATACGCTTGGCCAAATCAACGAGCCGTGAGCGATGACCCAATCGAATGTAGAGCGAGGTCGGCCAGCGTCAGCGCTCACTGGAGAGTGAGGAGCGGGCAGATGGCTCATGGCTTTTGGCTTTTGGCCATGCAGATTGTCATAAGTTTACCCAGACAAGTCCTTGTCCCCTCGTTGCTCAACTTCTTCGGCAGTCTTCGGTTTTTTTGGGCTTCCACTTCCTAATGGACCCTCAGCGGAAGCGCGTGCCTGCCGCTCATTATGCTTTTTGGCAGTGTGCAAATTGAAACATCAGCTCCAAGCATTTCCAAATGCTAATGGCATTTGTACATATCTGCAAACAACAAGAAATTTGATATAAGACCCTTGAGCTGCCATGACTCTCCTCGACACGCGCGTCATGGCCATTGACACCTTGACATGCCACGCCTCTGCCCCAGCCACAGCCCCAGCCACTGCCACTGCCACTGACAATGAATGACTTAACCAAATCCCAATTGACTGCCCGTCTTGAATTTTAAGTTGGAGCACAACAAAAGCCGACCAATTTATTGGAATCATTTTCGCTTTTAGGGTCTGACAAATCCCTTGGGCAACTCGACAGTTCTGCAGGGTGGGGCACGGGGTTCAGCGCTCTTCGAATAAATATCGTAAAATGTCCCAAAGATGCCTTTGCCCAAAGTACAAGCTCCCTCAGCTTCCTCTTGGAGTTTCCTGAGTTTAAATTGAATTAGGCATTGGCTGGCCTTTGGTTTCCATTTGCACTTTGCGTAATTTGCATTTCGATTCCACAGCCTGAAGAGGATGCTTCAGCTTCAGTTTCCTCTTCTGTGGCTGGCAGCTGCATGTCGCCTATCGCCCCATACGATCTGACAGGTAACAAGAGACCAGGCAAGGTACATACATCGCCCTCATCCACAGCATCAGCCTTAGCCTTAGCCTCTTCCACCGCTAGATAACTTCATCCTGTCGCAGCAGGAAGTATCCTGGAAATCACGTTCGCCTCTCTACTCAATTTTCAGTGGAAAACACACAGAGAGCGAGAGAGCGAGACGTGACTAACATCGATTGGCCTGCGGCCTAATTAGATACTCAACAAATACGCTCACCTGGCGACACCTCAGCACAATCAGCAGACTGCAAATGATGAGAGGCCAAGGCTGCCAATCGAAAAGAGAGTCCCTCGGGAAGGGCAGCAGCATAAATGGAAGAGGAGGAACGTTGAAAATGAAATGAAATTTTGTATTTGTGTGTTGGGGCGAATGATAATAAATAAATATGCAGCTGATGGGATTGGGAATGGGGGAAACACTTGGAAACACTTGTGATAATCATGACTAATAAGACACACAAACAGTCGAGTCGAGGGCCAGCCCGTCCAAAAATAAAGCCAAAGAAAACAACGACAAAAGACAAACACAGCTGGCTGGCGGCTGGATCCCCAAGCATCCAAAAGGAGCGGGTTCTTAGAGGGTCGGGCGGGGGCCAACAGTCAGCAGAAAGTGCTCAGAATTCGGGATAAACTTCGGCTGGGGGGCGAAATGAATCGAACTTGTTGTTTAGATGCGCAGATTTTGCGTCCCTTTTCTGGAGCAAATTTTGGATTGTTTATCAAGAATAAATAGCACCAACGGAAGTGCAGATATTCTTGGCTTGGCTCATCCATAAATAATACTAATTCAATTCACTCGAGCACTTCAGCAATCAAACAATCAAACAATCTCTCCAGCTCCAGCTCCAGCTCCAGCTCCGGCTGCTGGCAGAGAGCGCATGGGGGTTGAATGGGGTGGTTTGAGGCCTCACTTGAAAGGGTTTCTCGTGTGGCAATTGAAACGCCACGCGCGTTCCCTTAATGCCTGCAATTAATGTTCAAAAATTGAATTAAATGCACTCTAAGACATCGCTGGGAGATGCCACTCAGCCTTTGGTGGGGGCTTTATAAATTATAATTGGAGTGGAGCCGCGATAATTGAACCAAAAATTCAACTGCCAGAGCAGTTCCCGCTGCTAATTGATAAGCTAAGTGGCAAGTGCCATAAAAAAGGGAAGAGAACTCAAGCTGAATCAAAGAACTTCCATACCGAACTGGGGAGCTGGTGGAGAGTTCATTAAGAGACTCGGCTTTATGGACTCGCGGAGATTTATGGGCCAGCGGCATTTCTTTCGTTTTCTCACTGCTGCTAAATGTAGCAACCAAAGACCTGGACCCACCTGACATGAAAGCCCATAAAAACCAGCAAGAATGAGCTGGGGGTCAGGTCAGGTTTGGGTTGGTTTAGTTCGGTTTCAATGGAATGTTTTTGGACTGTTGCAACTCCTTAGCGTTGATCTGTGGCTCTGGGCTGAGTGTGAACGTTAATGACCACAAAACACACACACACACACACGCACACACACACACACACCTGCCTTGTGGGCAGGTAGCAAGCGGGTTTGCTCTTGATTTTGTTCCTAATTTCCACTGAATTGTTTTCCGCCGCTTGTTCTTCGTGGAATAAGGAATTGTCTAACCTTATTTAGGGATTCTAAAAGTTGGCAAAAATCAAATCGCCCCCTGCCCTCTTTCGCTGACATTTTCTTTGAGGGTTTTTCGCTGTTTTCTTCGTCTTTTATGTGTCAATTGTGTGGTGACAAAAGCGATAACTTTGAGCACGCCCATAAACTGGAAGACGCTGCCAATGTCCACACCACACACTCTCCTCTACCCGCCAGCCGTTCTTCTCCTCCTCCTCCTCCTCCTCCTCCTGCACCTCCTCGCCATTCTCCCACACCAGCGCCCCCCCTGTTCATCTCTCTCTCCTTCACTTGCTGGCTGCCTGGCAATTTGGCCACCAGTTTGCCTTTGAGGCACTTAAAGATTTCTTTTGATTTTGTTGCTGCTGTGTGTGTGTGTGTGCAAGAGAGAGAGTCTCGTGTGTAGGTGCCAGTTAATGGCCGCCATAAACCCACTCCTCGCCATCGTGTTTCGTTTGTTGTCGTACATGCAATTCCTGTTGTTGTCGCTATTGCAGTTGTCGTTGCTGTTGCTTGTTGCAATTCAGTTGTTGTTGCTGTTGCTGTTGCTGTCGTTTATGGCTGAGCTTACGGGCTGCCGCCAGGATAATGAACATTCATGTTGAACACGTTAGGCGACTGCAGGCGAGAGCGTGGGTGCAGCATTGCATGCGGCTGTCGCTCCTCTCTTTACCGCTACTCTCTTTAGCGCTCCTCTCTTCCGCACTGCGCTCTTCCGCACGCCGCTCTTCTGCACGCCGCTCTTCGCCACTCTTCTTCCTTGCCCATTTCTTGGTCTACTTTTGCACCGCTTTGCACTATTTTGTTGTTGCTTACTCTCTTCTGGCTTCTCCTTTGGCTGTCTTCTGCTCATCCTGTAATTCGTTTATTCGTTTCCCTTCTTCCCGCTCGTTCCATATTTATGTTTCTTTGCCGTTTCATTCTTCCCTTTTCGCTTTGCTTGCTGGCTGTGGCCTGCTCATTAGCTCCATCTTTCGTGCAGACGCGCCCAGCCACTGCTCCGTGACTCCCACTCACCACTCACCACTACCCCCTTCCACGCTGTCCCGCTGTCCCTCTGTACCTACAGCACACTGCACACGTTTATCGCCTCGAGTAATTACATTTTGGCAGGGCCAAGCCCCGTGAAAAATAGAAGGCAAGAAGCGCAGTGCATTGAACCAAGTCGGGATTGTCGTGGGCCGTGTCTCAGTGCCCACCTACAAATCGATTACAGAACGGTGTGCCCAGCCCCGCACACCACCGCAGCAGCACCCCGCTCCAAGCAGACAGACCCGCAATTAGCGTAAAACCCAAGCACTGACCGCAGATCGCTCGAAACCCGATGCGAAACTAAACCTTTTTGCGGTTGCCCACTCGTACTCGTACTCGTACTTGTGTACATATTCACATACATTCATATACATATTATGTATTTTGATATTATCTTGTGCTTACGATTTGATTTCTTTGATTTCAGCCTGCTCGTGGGAGCGCCACTGGATCATAATCGACAGCCCAACACCTCACACTCGGGCGCCCTCTGGAAGTGTCCCATAACGCAGAGCTTCGATGACTGCGAACAGGTGATAACCGATGGACGACGTTGTAAGTCACGAATGTCACGAGTATCTATAACTATAACTAGGATCTTTATAATGAGGAATTTCAAGAAGCAAATGGAACTTTCTGTGCACATCCAAAATTCTTAGGTTTACAATCATTTACGATCTCCATGTCGATTCTGATTAGTTAAGATGCAAAATAATTCTTAATTCTTACGTATATAATATCAAGTTAGGCGATAGCTACTAACCAAGCTTTGGTACCTTTTGCCACCCACTCTCTCTCTCTCTCTCTCTCTCTCTCTCTCTATATATCTCTATAAACTTTTTATGTTTTGGAAGGTTGACTGGTTTGAGCCAATGTCATGGATCCCAACAACCTTCCAGCAATTCCGTTTCTACTCTCTCACTCAATAAATTGTATATAAACAATTGCCTGTACAGAGATTCTGTGACTAAACTTTTCTAACCCTAATGGAACCTTTTCAGTTTTCGATTTTAAGTTATTAGGAAATGGAAGCTGTGAGCAGCTGATGAATTGTTCAATCGAAGAGTTACCCAATGAATCATTCACTAAGCTCACCGCTTCTGCGTTACATATTTTTAGTAATTTATTGTATAAAGATCAAACCACTTTTGCCCTAGCATCTTAGTCTTAGTGTGAACACGAACCATATCGATATCCGAGATCTACTATTGTATATTTAATTTAATTTAATTATTTTAATTGTTTTTGTACTCTTCTTTTTTTTCTTCCTTTATCGTTTTTTTTTCGTTTATCTCTCTACCCCTTGATTTTTGGTTAAATGGAAATTTATATTCGGTGCGCCTAACTGGGAAACCTCATTCGGGTACCCCTCCAACCTCAACCTCAACCTCCAATCTCCAATCTCCAACCTGAACCCAAACCCAATCCAACTTTTCCAAAATACTGACCAAATTATTTTCGATATTTGCAAATTCGATCACGATCACGATAACGATAACGATAACGATAACGAACGAATCATTTAGCATCGAGCGGAGTTTATGAGATTAATAAGCGTAAGTGGTATGGGTGCTTTAATTGTTGTCTTGCCCCACAAAAACCTGAAAAAAAAACCCAACTAAAATCGACACATCCCTGGTCAAAGCATCGCATCGCAATTTTCTAACACCCATTAAAAAATGGTGTAAAATCTTGTTGGTTTTGCGCTTCAATTTCTTACACTTGTGTTTTGATTTCTTTTATTGATTAACCATTTGATTCAGTCGAATCGCTCGCTTTTGTACATACAATATCAGCGATCACCGAATGCACAGTCACGCACACGCATGCCAATGGCCGCCATCTTGCTTACTTATGTACCACCTAACCTATCACACTCCTTACCGCCGCCTCTCACTTATCTTTCGCTGCTGCTCCTGACTTGCCACGCATGCGCGCACCACTCGTAATTGCAATCAGATAAACAATATTGTACCATACTACCCACTAGTCATAGAGTTAGCTAAATATACTTTATACTCGTATGTACATAATTATGTTTGTTTAGTTGTTTATCTCTAATTATGTATGTATTTTCGATAAACTATTTAACTAAGTTATCATTTAACCCTTGCACCATGAAGGAGACGCTAGTAGCTCATCAGAACCCAGAAATCTTCTAACTAAGCTGCCATTGCTCACTTGTACATTTTTTTCTTTATTTACATTGAACTTAAAATCTTCTTGTACAAAATATCATACCTTTGTTTCCGATAGTAAAAGTTGGAGTTAAATTTGATTACAAATTTAAAATGAAATATTTAACTTGCTTTACTTTAATTTGAAATTGATCTTTCATGGCATAGTACAGTCTTATAGCAATGAAACGCACTGTATTTGTACCCAACCCATGCATGAACCATCTATTTATGTACAATGTACTGTACATACATATGTTCCAATAATCCCCCATCCATCGGCAAAATGTTCGAATTCGTCACAAGGCCAGCGCCCTCCGGACACGTAACAGCTCCCCATTGAGCAGGAGCTTGGTTCAACATTTGCATTGGGCGATAACATTTCCCGAACTGTTGTGGGGGATATGCCGTTGTACGCTTCGATTGCAGCAGCAGCAGCAGCAGCAGCAACAACTTCATTATCGGCCTCACATGTTGGACATTTCCTCTGCATGCCCAAGCTGGTTCTCGGAATGCGAACATCGTCCCCGGGCTGAGGATTATTCCAGGCTTTACTTTTTTGGCGGCTCCAATTCGCGGCTCATTTAGCAATAATTATATCGTTCCATTCTCTTGCTCATTCTCTTTCGATCATAAATTTACATTTGGATGTAAATTCATTTGCGCTTTGCCCTGCCCCTCCTTAATATTCACCCAATGAAGACGCCATACAACTGGGTCGACTGCACTTTTTTTCGTACACCACTGTGACCGTGTTTTTGCCTCTTCTTTCTGCTTTAATTCTTTCACTTCGTCTGCTTATTCGAATGAATGTTCTTTTGATACCCTCGCGCAGAGGGGTTTGCGTATTTTGTCCAAATATTTGCAATGCAGAAACTAAAAGTTTACTTACACATGTAATTGATCGAAATCATTTCACTTTATGCATATGTACATCTTAATAATCATTTAACGCACATACTAATGTACAAACTCCATCGTTTGTCTGTTCAAGGGGTGTCAACAGCTTCGACTCCTTCCATTGCGCTCTCTCGCTCTTGCTGTTCTTCTTGCTGTCGCTGTTTTGGCAATCAGAGCGTGGCGGCCGCTCAAGACTTTGTCTGCGTGTCAGAACGTGACAAATTTCTCAAAACTGCATACATTGTATGTGTGCACTGCGCATTAAGTGTGTTAAAAAAACTCACACACACAGCAAAACCAATGTTGGCAGCGGCATAAAAATAACTGAAAATTTAAGAATGCAAATTCCTGAGTGAAAAATAACTCAGAATACGTTTTCGGGGGCCCCTGGCAGCAGCAGCGGCAGCAGCAGCAGCCTTCTGCATTCTTTAGGTTTTCTACGTCTTTTCGTCTTCCGTGTTCGTTTTTCTTTTACGCCTGCCAATGTCAACTACGCGTCACACAGTGCAAAGTTCATTTGGTGCTGGGCCAATCAAATGCGGATGGGGTGCGGGGGGTTTGCTGGGGAAATCTGCACTGCACTTCCAGCTGCGCGCCTGCGTGGATGGCGGCGACTTTCACTTGCAGGCCCGACCGGGCGCGTTTTAAACGCGTCAAACCCGTCAAGAACGGCCCACGCCCCAAGGCACTGCAGCGCAACGAAAGGCGAAGAAAACCAAAAAGAAAACGCCGCTTAAAAGTGCCGTACCCTACCTCTCTCACCGAACCCATGCATGTGTGCATGTGTGTGTATGTCCACATATCTGACTCCATCTCTCCTCCAACCGGTGCAATAATCATTTATCATATTTCAACACTTTGATGCTTTAAAATGCATTCTAAATCAATTTCGTTACGTTTCGGGTCTCGCTCTCTGTCGCTCTTTCTCTCTCCATTGCTTTGGCTGCCAACATTACTCTCCCTCCCCATTGCGGCAGCATTCTGTTAGACTTGGCAGCGCTTTCCATTTTCTCATACCCTTTCTTTGATGCTGCAACTATGACTTCAAAGAGAAGTTTGCAATGCAGTGACGAATATTGCAAGTCTGAAGTGGAGTTTGTACGTCGGTGTGTTGCCATGAGAAAAAACATTACCGAAATAACAGAGCAATGAATAAACATCAAGCAATGAATGAACATCAGAAATATTCTGTTGAAACAATTCGATTGCTGGCAGAGCTCTGGTCTCAAAGGGTATCCAACTTTGCGTCTTACGCTCTAGCTCGCTCTCTCTCTCTCTCTTAATCTCCTTCCTACGTTGTTGTTGCTCACTCAGCGGAACACATGTGTTCTCCAGCTCCAGCTCCAGCTACAGTTTCAGGGTCGGGTCTCTTTCTCTTCTCTCAAGAACACAAACACACACACGCACATGTTGTGCCCCAAACTCAACTGTTAATAATTACATATTGCATTTCAAAATCAATTTGGAGTTTAAAATACTTCAATTTATGTACGTATGAATGTGAAATGTGACTGAATTTATTGTTTATACTTATTACTCGTACAAAATATTATTGTTAATAATGCATACATACTACTATTACACTTGAAAGTTAATGATTTACATAATTATTGTTCTTGTTGTTAATTTTGATGTTTTTACTGTTGTTGTTGCTGACACACACACACACGTACACGCACACGAAACACATGTACACATACATACATCCACCCACCACCACACACGTTGCAACTCTTTCTACGACACTTGCTAACATATTGGTATCTCTCTCTTCTCTCTCTCTCTCTCCCTCTCCGTATCTCTCTCTCTCTCACTGCACTTCTACTCCTGCACGTGTCCGTGTACGTACAGCATACGACAGCGAGGTCCTCTCGCCGCCCTCCAGCGATGAGATCAAGGAGGGACAGTGGATGGGCGTCACGGTGCGATCGAATCCGCTTCAGGCCAATGGATCGGGTGGCAAGGTAAGCTTTTCCTTATTTTAACTCTCTCCTTTTGCACAGAGCTTTCATCGCTCTTTATTTAGAATCACTTTCATTTGCTCTCTTTGCTATTTTCTGTTCATGCAGGTGCTCGTGTGTGCCCACCGTTACATGTACATTGTACGCGAGAACCGCTATGGCCAGGGACTGTGCTACGTCCTCACCAACGATCTGCAGTTCGATGAAGTGCACGAGCCGTGCAAGGGTCGCCCTGTACAGAGGTGAGTGGTGGAAAACGTGCAGCGTGCAGCGTGCAGCGTGCAGCTTCAACCTGTCCATCAATCAATCTATGGGATTATAAGCTTATCATAACTGGTTCTCCACATAGCCACAGCCTTCTGGGACAGCTGACAAGGGTCAGGTCGGGAGAGGGACGCGACACCCACGAACAAAAAAGTGTCAAGGTGAATTATCTGTGGGATGGGGTTCTGGGGCGAACTGGCATTTGATGAATGGTCTGAGGGTGTGGGGGAACAGGAACAGGAACAGGGACAGGGACAGGGACACATACAGACATACATATGTGTGCGCGTGTTTCGCTTTTGGCCAATTAGCATGCAGCGAGGCCACTCCATGGCTTGCCTCAAGTGTGACACCGATGACGTAGGCCCCTGGTCGGACCACCAACTGCAGGACGCGAGCAGTCATAAAGGTGAATTTTAATTTATTTAAATGACATGAGGTCGTGGCCAGGAATGTGGGATCCGCACCCACACAATGACCAAATTCAAGGAGCGGTAGATGGGTGTTTGGACAGGAACGTGGACGGGGCAGTCGCAGGCCTGTCAGCATGTTGGATATGCAATTTTTCATTGAGCAGGTTCCTTGCGTGTCCAAACTCGATTCGGGCATGGGGTGGGCAAAGAGATGACAGAGAGAGAGAGAGAGAGAACGAGAACTTCTAATGTTGACCCTGGACTCATCCATTAATGTCGCCAGTATCAAGCGAGTAGCAGTTGACCCTGGACTCATCCATTAATGTCCCAACAAAAGGGGAAAGGCATCTATTAGTGTAACGACTTCATTTGGAAATGTTAATCATAATAATGTCTCAATGATAAGAAATGAAGTAACGAGTGGATCCCCAACCATAATGTAGCGAGTGGCAGTCTCAGAGCCATGGCCATCCATTAATAATCATTCCAAATGGGCTTTTTCTTACCTCAGACAACACGAGGACTATGGCCTGTGCCAGGCGGGCACCTCCGGCGCACTGCTGGACGATGACACAATGGTGCTGGGCTCTCCGGGTCCGTTCACGTGGCGTGGCTCCATCTGGGTGACGCAAATCGGTGGCGAGTACCTGCATCGAGACAAGACGACGTACTACAGCGACCACTCGGATGCCAGCTCGCCGGTGGATAAGTACAGCTACCTGGGCATGTCCGTCACCGGCGGACGCTTCTTCGGCGACAACATGTCCTATGCAGCGGGTGCGCCACGCTCCAATGGCCACGGACAGGTGGTGATCTTTGACAAGGCCAACACCAATCCGATACCCGTGCGCCTCATCATCGATGGCGAGCAGTTCGGCTCGAGCTTCGGCTATGAGCTGACCACCGCGGATGTCAACGGAGACAATCGGCCGGATCTGATTGCGGCGGCGCCTTTTTTCTTCTCGAAGAACGAGGGCGGAGCTGTCTATGTCTATCAGAACGATCAGGACACGCTGCCCAGGCGGCACACGCTGCGCCTGACGGGTGCCCTGGAGAGTCGCTTTGGCCTGGCGCTGGCCAACGTGGGCGATCTGAACAAGGACAACTGCGAGGACATCGCTGTGGGAGCGCCCTACGAGGGCCAGGGCGTTGTCTACATTTATCTGGGCTCGCGGCAGGGCCTCAACGAAAAGCCCGCACAGCGCATACAGGCCTCGGAGCTGGGCGCCACAGTGCCCCAGGGCCAGCCCATTCGCACCTTTGGCATCTCGATAGCGGGCAACACGGACCTCGACGGCAACTCCTATCCCGATGTGGTTGTGGGGGCGTTCAACTCCTCCGCCACGGTGGTGCTGCTGGCGCGACCCATTATCAACATTCAGACGAGCTACCGCAGCGATGAGCTGCGCAACATCGATCCCAACAAGCCGGGCTGCCGCTCGGATGCGTTCAGCAATCTGACCTGCTTCAGCTTCGAGGCCTGCTGCAGCATCGATCCATACGATGATACCACGAAGGAGCTCAGCCTGATGTACAGCGTGGAGGCGGAGACCTACGACCATCTGAAGAAGTTCTCGCGCGCCTTCTTCGATCGCGACAACAAGCGGAGCAACGTCATCAGTCGCGTGGTCAAGGTGCGCACCGATGGACGTGTTGCCTGCCAAATAAGCACCGGTTACATCAAGGCCAACACTCGCGACATCCAAACGCCCATCCGCTTCAGGCTGAAGTACACGCTGCAGGAGCCTCCGCTGGCGGACTCTGCCCTCACGCGACTCAACCCGATGCTGGATCAGACCCAAGCACACATTGACTTTGAGGGCACCTTCCAGAAGGACTGCGGCGATGATGATCTCTGCGAGAGTGATTTGGTTATTCGCGCCGAGCCAAATATCACAGCCATAGGTGCGTCGAACGTGTGTCCCCGCCGCTCCCGAACTCCTTAACTCTCTCGCTCTCTCTCTCTCTCTCTCGCTGTTTTGCAGGCAACGAGTACACGGTGATCCTAGACGGAAATGAGCTGGAGGTGGGCATCAGCGTGACCAACCTCGCGGACTCTGCCTACGAGGCGCAAGTGTTTATTAGCCACCAGGCGGGCGTCTCGTACGTGGCCACCAAAAAGCCGGTAAGTAGCCAAGACCCGAGACCCGAGCTTAGCCCATTCCCGATGCTCACTCTACGCGCTTCTGCCTGCCCACAGACCAATGCCACTTGCAACAGCTTCAACACCACTTTGGTGGCCTGCAGCCTGGGCAATCCGATGCCGCGCGGCACCACCACATTCGTGACGATCCGCTTCCAGCCAAAGAGTCTGGAGCCCAGCGAGAAGTCGATGCAGTTCCACATATTCGCGAATACCACATCCAAGCTGGTGGGCAGCGAGCCGCCGGAGCGGAATCTCAGCGTGGCCGTGGTGCGGCGTGCCAAGTTGCACTTCCGTGGCTGGGCGATGCCCGAGCAGAGCTTCTACAGTGGCGCCAGCCAGGCGACGGACAACTCGCCCATGGAGATGGGCGACGTGGGCTCGCAGGTGAATCACAGCTTTACCATCTTCAACGATGGACCCTCGACGGCGCCCAAGGTGCACATGGTCATCCACTGGCCGTGGTCGCTGTACAGCGACCCGGAGCGCGGGCACAAGGATCAGTATCTGCTTTATCTGGAGCAAACGCCCACCGTGGAGATTGGTGTGGGCGAGTGCCATGTGGCGCCCGAGTATGTGAATCCCCTGAAGCTGGATAGCGGCTCACAGGGCTCGATGATCGCCCAACTGGGCGCCCCAGCCACGCTCAAGATGTGGCCCATGCGTAGTCGCCAGCAGCAGAACAGGAACCAGACCCAAGCGACCCACTCAAGGCAACAGCGCAGCACACTGGAGCGCGTGACGCGCCTGGAGCGGCTCACCTACGAGCCCGAGCTGGCGGGCATTGGGTCCAGCGGCAGCGGCAGCGGCAAGAAGCAGGACATTGTCGAGCTCGACTGCAACAAGGGCACGGCACGGTGCATACGCATCGAGTGCGACATCTACAACATGCCAGCGAGATCCGAGGCGCAGGTGATGGTGAAGGCGCGACTCTGGAACTCGACGCTCGTCAGCGAGTATCCGCGGGTCGATCGAGTGCGCATCATCTCCACGGCCACCGCCAAGATACCCGAAGACTTTGGTGTCGAGGTGATGGAGCACAACGAGATCGAGGTGAGTCTTTCGTCGCTTTGGCGCAACCCCCCCCCCCCCCCCCCCCCCCCCCCCCCCTCCCTTCCCCCCCCCCCCGCTCCCCCGGCCCCCCCCGCCCCGCCCCGCGTCGCCCCCCCCAGCGCACGCGCCACCCCCGCCCCCCCCCCCCACCTCCCGACACTGCCATACCCTGGCTGATCATCAGCTTTGCCATACTCTTGGGCGTCGTGGTGCTGGCCGTGTTCACGTTCTTCCTGTGGAAGTGCGGATTCTTCAAGCGGATACGACCCACGGATCCCACGTTGAGTGGAAATCTCGAGAAGATGAACGAGGAGAAGCCCTTCCTGGCGGCCAAGAACACCCATCATGTTTTCTAACAAGAGGGCACCGTCGGCTGGGATCTGGCACGCCGGATCGCCCCCAGGAAGAGGCGACGCCATCTCCAGCTGCCCCTCATCACCAGACAGCGGGTGCACGGCCAACGCTGGCGACGACACAAATCCTCGAACAACAACGAGCTGGATATCCTGAGGCTCACGCCGCCACCGCCGCCCCTAAGCGTTCTGAATTGGGGCAGCGATGGATACTACCAGGCCAGTGCCAACTGGTGGGGGCACATGTAATGTGGGGAAGGATCGGGGGCTGTGGGTTGTGTGGTTCAATGTGCCATTTCGTTTACTTAAGGCAGCCAAAACTGCTTCATGGATCTAGAGGCCTGTGCCGGTCTAGGCCTTGTTTAGGCCTAAACGATAAGCTAGGCCAACACGATTTGGGTTCACATCGTGTTGGATAGTGTAATTTGTGTAAAAAAACAAACAGAAAAAAACATAAACTGTTCTTAATCGCATAGGTGTATATGTATGTGTGTGTGTGTGTGTGTGTGTGTGTGTGTGTGTGTATGTATGTGGTAGGGCCTAGGCTAAGCTTTAGCTTAAGTGAGAACCAATTCCGAATATATTCATACAAATCGAAAAACACTGCCAATAGGAACACTAAAATAATCAGCACTAAATCGGGGCTCGAAGATAGCAACAGGAGCAGGAGCCGCACTGGATACGAAAGTATTAGCACACTTTTACACTTTACATACAATATTTATTTAGTGACTACAGACAGACAGAATTTAGGCAGCAGAATCGCCACAGCTGACTGCTGACTTGAGGCGTCGTCAACATAGACAAAACTCCTCCGGGGAGGAGTCCAAGTTCCCTTGGCCATCGCGTAATTATTATAAAATTTCTTCTTTTTTTTTGGTTTGTTTTAAGCGAAGAGTCTAGTTAAGTGTAATTGTGGTAATGTTAGCTGTAAATATGAATTCTTTTTTTTCTTATACATCTGTTTAATATACTTACTATTATTTTTTTAAACCACAAAAAGTTGTATTGCTTTGGGAACCTGAGAACTGTTTGGATCGTGCTTGTTTCGTGCTCGTGCCTGCCCAAAGCCCATCTCTAGCTGCAGCGCTGCCACACAGCAATGAGCCTTTGCATGCAGGCAGTGTTTGCTACGACACTCCGCAAACCAGGGCTGCACACTCAAACACTTTTTGGCGCGCGCTTTTAAGTGAGGTCACATGCACGCAACCATCCGTAAATCAGCAAAGGTGTTCGAAAAAAACAATACAAAGACAAATTGCTTACTCAGCCAAAAGTCACATAGGGTTTTTATTACTACACACTGTTAGGTTACAAAAATTGTCAAGTGTAACAATAATTTGTGTGCTTCTTCTTCGCCTTTCTTCGTTTTTTTTTTTTTTTTTCTTTTGCATCACGGTAGAGAACGCAACATTTGGGGTTTATTTATTACAGTATGTATAGCTATAGATATTTTAGCTGGAATCTATACATATCGCATGTTACTTTCGAGCTTAAACGATTCTAGAAAATGGTAAATGAGAAATGAACATTCCATTTGCCTTTTGGTTCGCTGTGCTAGTCGCTATTACCTTTACTCGTTACTCGTTACTTGTTACTCGTTACTTGTTACTCGTTATCGTTACCTGTTACCTGTTACTGTTATTTGTATAAGAATAAGTGTGTAATTGTAGTTGGTATTTCTTTATCTGTAATTCAAAATGGAAAAGTTTCGAGTATGATTGCCATGTGGCCAAAAAAAAAATGATTCTCGGTCTGTCTCTGTTCGCCAGCGCCACGCGTCACACTCTTCTATGCCTGGCTGGGGGTCTGTTCTAAAGAAAGGGTCTGTCTTCTTGTCTTGCCCGCGGGGCGGAGGAGGTTTTATAGAGAAAGAAAGTAGGTAGATACGATATTTTATGTATATGTATGTATGGAGAAGGAGGAGGATCACTAGTAAAGACTCTCGGTGTTCGAGGAGCGGGGCTTCTTAAGCTTCTCCAAGTTCTTAATGACTATGTCGTGGAGCGAGGAGTAGCGGTTGCGCACCTCGCAGACCACCAACCACAGACTGAGGTATTCCTTTTCATCCAACTCGACAACGGCTCTACGATAGTCCTCGATGTGCGGATATTTCGCCACCTTGGACACAACCTTGGCGCGCGAAAGGAAATATCGCGAAATCTGGTCGTAGAACGCTGCCGCCTCCGACTCCACAGTCTGGATTTCGGCCAGCGTATCCTCCTGTATGGAGACGCCAAAATTGTTGCCATCCTCGATTTTCGGTATCATGAACGAGATCCACATCTTCAGCAGATTGGCTGCAAGCGACAAATGGCAAATGGCAAATGACAAATGCGGCAATTAGCTTAAAATCCCAGCTCTCACTCAATGTTTTGTTCACTTACAATGCTCCACCAGAGTACGGATGATCGGCTTGACGACTTTTATCATCTCGCAGAGCGGCTTGTTGCACGACACCGAGCCGTTGGGCAGCGCCAGCATGGGGGAGCCAGCGACGACATCGTTGCGTGGACGCTTGTTCGGCGGATGGTCATCGTTGCCGCTATCGTCATGGTTTTTGGCCAGCACCGGCGGCAGCACAGGAATGTTTACATCCTGATGTACCTCCTCGAAGTCGCGCTCATTGAACATGGGCGTTGCGAGCAGCTCATTCAGCTGGACAATCTTCTCGGGGAAGCACTTGGTAATCAGCAGCTCCGCTTTCTGGATAAGCGTGTCTTTGTACTCCTGCACCTTGATAACTGTATCTTTCGGCATTGTGGTCACAGTATATGTTGCGAAATGTTCAAAAGGTTGAAACTAAACGGCGACGTCGACGACAAAATTGCGACGGTCGGTGAACAAAACAGTTGTGACTTGATTACCCTCAACTAGTGGCACTCTGGATGCTGCAAATGTATATTGTCAGTGCTGGCTGTGCTTTAACTTTTGCATTTCTGCCGGGAAAAACTTACCGAGAATTTCACTGATGCGAATTTATTCGGCAGCGTGCTCTAGGGATGTGACCGCGAGACTATCGATCAAGTATACCGCACAGCCCTCAAAAATATACCAAAACATACCGTAAATATACTATGGGAGTTAAATGTATATTGCTTCACCAGTATATCGATGTCAGTATTTATTATTGATAATACATTTTGCATGCACTAGCAACGCAGCTACTCTTTGACGCAAGTACTTTTCTAAACCTGGTGCAAATGTTCACTATTTTTCTGTTGTTTCACGTGGCTAAAACAGCTATAATTCGACTTTTAGCATAACAGGTAGCTGCATAAAAATATCGATAACTTTGTGCGTTAAGCGAAAGCTATCGGTGCTTGCTTTGAAAATCACAACTATGGTTGCAAAAACTGGAACAATAGTCGTACTTATCTAATGGGTTCTATGTCTCATATATCATTATTTTTTGCATAATGTCTTTTTCATATATGTAGTCTGTTCTCTTTTCTTATTGATCATAAAAAGACCGCGTCACCTTCGCTGATATCGCACTGCAATATCGATAGCAGATATCGGCCACCTGAAGATTTAGTGTGTCGATGAGGACACTCGTTTAACCTATCGGTTGACTCATTTCGCCATCGATATTCGCATATATACACGCCCCCGATGTAAATACATAAATAATTAACGAAACTAATATTCAACACATATGAAGAGCGTGAAAAACACTGTTATATCATGTGCTGCGAATAGTTAATGATTGTCCAGTACAAAGCAATTGGGAACATTCATCCCCTGCCACAGCAGAACAGAGTTCGAGTGCGACGCCCTCCCATGGTGAAGGTGAAACTGCATAGACACAGAGTCTCCTCCAGGTACGCGCAGCAGGGCACTTCACTTGCAGATATTGTTGGAGCAGACAGACGCAGGAGGAGTCGAAGATGGGCAACAAGCAGATCAAACAGCACCTGGAGACGGCACAGAAGACGGGCATACTGAAGATCTCATTGCAGCGACTGCAGGAGTTTCCGCCCCAGCTGAAGGCCTATCCGAATGTCCTGAAAACGCTCGATCTGTCCGAGAATCGTTTCGAGCACATGCCCGACGAGCTGGGCAGGCTGACGCTGCTGAAGCATCTAAACCTCAGCGGCAATCGCCTGGTGGAGCTCAACACCGTGGTGGGTGAGCTGCTGAAGCTGGAGGTGCTGCTGCTGATGGATAATTATTTGACCAGTCTACCCAAAACGTTGGTCAACTGCACCAACCTCAAGACGGTGAATCTGAGCAATAATCAGCTGAAGGAGTTCCCCTCGATGCTGTGCGGCCTAACCAAGCTGGATGTGCTCGATTTGTCCAGGAACAAGATCACCAAAGTGCCCGCGGAGGTGGGCAGTCTGTGTGCCACCGAGCTGAACCTCAATCAGAATCAGATCTCTTCGCTGGCCGAAGATGTGGCCGACTGTCGCAAGCTGAAAACCCTGCGGCTCGAGGAGAACTGTCTGCAGGCACACGCCTTCACGCCGCGCATCCTAAAGGACTCAAAGATTTGCATTCTAGCCGTCGATGGGAATCTGTTCAACTCCAAGCAGTTCACCGACCTCGATGGCTACGACGTCTACATGGAGCGCTACACGGCGGTCAAGAAGAAGATGTTCTGAGGCCAGAAACCCACAGAACATTTTTATAGCCCCTATTTTATTTAAGTTTAAATCAATAATTTAATAGCTTAATTGTGTGCATGCCTTCAGTGTAAATCGTTGAGAATAAACAGAGTAAATACAACACAGTCGAGGGTCGGGAACCACTACTCTATCTCTATCCCTTTCTAGCGTTTGTTTTGAGCGTGGTGAATAAGTTAGTGGTCCTCGCCACCTTATTAGTAACTTCACCATGAGCTGGTGGTTCAAGTCTGAACTAACCAAGCAAACTGCTTGCTGCACTCCCGCCAAAAACACAAACACAAACTGCATAAATGTTCTACTATAACGTATAATGTGAGTATGGAAAATGCATTGTGCAAATATATACAATAATTCTCTGTGGGAAAACCATTATAGCTTGCCCCGCATCATGGGCTGCAGATGGCTACGGAAGGTGGCATTGACTGGCTCCTGGTTGAGCGGATTGCGGCGTGCCTCTGCCATCAGGCGCTCGTACACGCGTCCATCGTAGCTGCCCAGCGTGGAGCCGAGTGTGCGATCATGGAAATCGAAGCCATCCACCAGTGCCACCGCATTGGGACGCAGTTCGGCGAGAAGTTGCTCGAATCGGCGCTCCATCAAGCGCAGCTGGGAGCCGGTGATGCTGTTCCAGCGCAGCACGGAGCCGGCCTGGCGCAGGAAGGTGTCCAGCACGAACAGCTCCACCAGCTGGCCCAGCACTGCGGAGACTTGTGGACTCAGCGAGCCGCGCCTCAGGCGCTCCAGCTCCTGCAGCGCGTTCCGCGTGAGAAAGGCGTGGGCATGGGCGATGGCGGCCGCTGTGAGCTGCCTGCCGGACAGATTGTTGGCCTGCTGCTCGCTCAACTTTCGCTGGCGATGCATGCTCTGACTCTGCCAGGCGAGGCGGGTCTGCTCCAGGGCGGAGATCTCTAGGGCGCGTGCGGCATTCTCGGCCAAGTTCTTGCCCCAGTTGAGGCGTGCCGTATTCCGCAGATACGTGACACTGACGGGCAGCACTTTTCGCTTCAGACTGTCCGTGTACTGGCGCACCAGGAAGCGGGCCGTCTGCAGCAGCAGGACGGTGTACTCGCCCTCGTACGTGTAGGCGGCCGTGGCCATGCCGTAGATGCTGTCAAAGTTGGCGGACGACAGGAAGCCGTGACCGCCGCAGGACTTGCGCAGCAGATCAATGCCCTCGCTGGCCTCGTCCGTGCCCACGGCCTTCAGGCAACAGCTGAGGGCATGCAGCTCGGGCAGCGAGTGCTGTCCGGCACCCACCTCCAGCTGCTCCAGCACGCGTGCATAGAAATTCCACAGCCAGTCGGCGGCCAGGCGGTAGCAGACGCCGCGCGCAATCTGCGGCAGAACCTTCACCTGCTGCGTGAT